ACTCAAAACGAGGTGACTTTTGAGTCGACTCAAAACGAGGTGACTTTTGAGTCGACTCAAAACGAGGTGACTTTTGAGTCGACTCAAAACGAGGTGACTTTGAGTCGACTCAAAAGTCACTAGAACCCCACAAGGGGTGCAAGATGCATGCTTGTGCGCAGTGTGCTCACCTGTGCATTCTGTGTGCGATGGAGCTGGGGAACACTCCGTCCTCATCGCCCCACACTAGCAGCGACTCCTGCCAGCACGAGCACACAAACAAGCAGAGACGGGCAGTAAAGGCCAAAAGACAAGGGTATTTACACAGAGGGTAGGATGGTACGTGGGTTTCAATAATGGGGCTTTGTATGCTGAATCTGTTTATATAATTATATATATTATTCTCAAATAACAAATTCATGGGGCTTTGTCCGTGCAATGAGGCGTGTGGTTGTAGAGAGGGTGACGGGGCGTTCACGAAAGACGCAAGAAAGCAAACAGAGAGGGTGACTGGGGAGGAGAACGGACGGGTGACAGGGCACAACACGCAAGAAAGCAAACATGCATGCATGGCGTCGCAGGGAGTGGGCACTTTGGCGTTCATAAGGCTCGAGCGTCTCATGCCATGCCTGATGTTCGTTGCATGGGCTACTGATCCCCCTGACCACATTGACCACATTGACCCCATTGACCCCATTGACCCCCCGTTGACCCCCCCATTGACCCCCCGTTGACCCTGTTGACAGCACTGACCATGGGGGGCGTGGGGAATGGGTCGGGCGGGTTGTCAAGCTGCTGCAGCAGCGAGTCCAGCATCTGCTGCTTCACCTCCTTGTTCTCCTGCAGTATCTGTTGCAGATGTGGTGTGGGGGGAAGGGGGGGGAAGGGATGGGGGTGTGTGAGATGAAAGGGCAGGATGGCATGGCATGGCATGGAACGGAATGGCACAAAATGGAATGGATTGGCACAAAATGGAATGGAATGGCACAAAATGGAATGGAATGGCACAAAATGGAATGGAATGGCACAAAATGGAATGGAATGGCACAAAATGGAATAGAATGGCACAAAATGGAATGGAATGGCACAAAATGGAATGGAATGGCACAAAATGGAATGGAATGGCACAAAATGGAATGGAATGGCACAAAATGGAATGGAATGGCACAAAATGGAATGGAATGGCACAAAATGGAATGGAATGGCACAAAATGGAATGGAATGGCACAAAATGGAATGGAATGGCACACAATGGAATGGAATGGCACACAATGGAATGGAATGGCACAAAATGGAATGGAATGGCACACAATGGAATGGAATGGCACAAAATGGAATGGAATGGCACAAAATGGAATGGAATGGCACAAAATGGAATGAAATGGCACAAAATGGAATGGAATGGCACACAATGGAATGGAATGGCACACAATGGAATGGAATGGCACACAATGGAATGGAGTGGCACACAATGGAATGGAATGGCACACAATGGAATGGAGTGGCACACAATGGAATGGAATGGCACACACACATGCGAGAGCACTGATGAGACACTGACAGCTTTGAGAGTTCTTACAAGTGGGATGAACACGAAACATGAAGCTTGAGCATCCCACATCCAAGCGACAGCTCACACCACGCATGCTCTCTCCTCTCTCCCGATTCCTCCCCCTCTAATCCCCCCTCCCGTCTTACCCCTTCCCCCAACTTCTCATCCCCCCATTAACCTTCACTCCCCTCCCCCTCTTGCCCCCCTCCAGGTAAACGTAAACCCCTGCGCACGTGTGAGAGCGCCTTGAGCAGCCAGCGCGGCAGTTTGGGTGGGTGGTAGTGCGCGAGGGACAGCAGGCGCTGCACTGCAAAGCAAAGGGGGTGAACTAGGCCACCACAGCTCAACACACACATGCTCTCCCCATCCCTTCACCCACCACCCCTCTTCCCCTCCCGTCCCCCTCTCGCCCCCTCCCCGTTTAGCCCCCACTCCCGTGTTGTCCCCTCCCCCTCCTTATCCTCACCCGCTCCCCCCCACTCTCCTCCCTTCCCACCCCCATCCGCACGTGTGAGAGCGCCTTGAGCAGCCAGCGGGGCAGTTTGGGTGGGTGGTAGTGCGCGAGGGACAGCAGGCGCTGCACTGCTGGGGGGTCGCTGGGGAGAAACACCTCCGATGGATGCTCCACCTGAGGGGACAGAACGGGAGAGAGGCGGAAGGGTGAGCGAATGAGGACTTTGAGGGGGCTCAGAATGAGAGACGATTGTTTAGGCACATATATCCAATGCATGCACCACCTGGGGGCATGATGGTGGAAGCAGGAGTGGGTTGGAGGACGGGTGAGGAGGACGGGGCGGGGAAGGGAAGGGGATAATGGAGAGGAGGGGAGAAAAGAACGAGCATAGGAATAAGCACAGAAGTCGATGAAGGTACAGTCAGTGTGGGGAGGAAGAGAATATGTGGAGAGGGCAAGGGGCCAGGAGAAAGAGGAGAGGGCAAGGGGCCAGGAGAAAGAGGAGAGGGCAAGGGGCCAGGAGAAAGAGGAGAGGGCAAGGGGCCAGGAGAAAGAGGAGAACGGGGGGAGTCCCTCGCACAGTAGCCAAAGAGGTAAAGGACTAGATCCATTGGCCCTACCATGGTGGGGTGGGACACGGGTGAAGGCCAAGGTGTCATAAGCTTTCCGCGCTTAGTCATCCATCCATCCATGGCAGCGTATATGACACCTTGGCCTTCACCCGTGTCCCACCCCACCATGGTAGGGCCGATGGATGGATGGATGGATGGATGGATGGATGGATGGATGGATGGATGGATGGATGGATGGATGGATGGATGGATGGATGGATGGATGGATGGATGGATGGATGGATGGATGGATGGATGACTAAGCGCAGCAAGCTTACTCATGGTATGGGAGGCTGGCCTTGCCAACGAGAGGAGAGGAGCAGGAGAGGAGCGGTTATACTAGCACTCACTGCATGCTTGTCATGCACTGCACTACTCACCCCACCAACAGTCTCCTGCTCCCCCTCACCAGCCATCGCTTGAGCATGTCAGCATTGCCGTCTCCAGTGGTGCCGGGTGGTCGGTCACCCCCGGCACTAACCTGTACCCACCAGCACTGTCGTCAACGATGGCAGGCAGGCACCACACCCCCTTCCCTTCTACCAAACACCCCACCAGCACTGCCCGGTACCCACCAGCACTGCCCGGTACCCACCAGCACTGCCCGGTACCCACCAGCGCACCCTCTCCTAATCCGCAGCCCAACTAATTCACCTGCCATCGCTTGAGCATGTCATCATAGTCCTCCCGCGTGGCCATCACCCCCGACCCCACCAGCACCAGCCGTGACACGCGCTCTGGGTGCAATGCTGCCATTCTTTGAGTGGGAAGGGAGGGGGGAGGGAGAGGAGGGAGGAGGGTTGCGAGGAGAAGGGAAGGGGTGAGGGAGAGGAGGGAATCAGCCACGTTACCCAACGCTACGTGCATGGGACGGAGCCCACCAACAGGATCTATGTTGATTCTACTTTTGAGAAGTCTCAAATTCTCAAAAGGAAACAATCGCCTGCATAACAGTTAGGTGATGCAGCGTGCGTGCGCACACTCCCACCAGAGACATAATATCACACACCACCGCACCTCACCACACCACCACACACCACCAACACATCCACCCCTCCCTACCTGTACGCCACGATGCCACCATAGCTCAACCCGACCACATGGCACGCCGCTACCCCCAACCGGTCCATCAGCTTCACCATGCTCTCCGCCTGAAACACGTCGGACCGCTCGTCGCTGCTGCTGCTCGAGTCGCCAAAGAACACCAAGTCGGGTATGTACAGGTCGAAATGGCGGGATAGCGCTGGCACCTGCTGCACCCACTGCCAGATGCCCGACCCGCCGAACCCGTGCAGCAGCAGCGCCGCTGGCTTTAAGATAGATTTTGACTTTAAATCCTTCCCGTCAGCGGGGGGAGGTTTCCCGAAAGGGTCGTCGAAGAAGCCGGATTTCGCGAGCGGTCTGAAGCGGCGCGGCGCCCAGCACGCGATGCGCGTGTGCGCGTCGACCTGCACGGCCATGCGGTGCAGCCCGTGGCGCCGGTAGCTCCACGCGATCAGCCGCTCGTTGAACCGGATGAACGCCGGCACCTTGCCGGCCCGCGTCATTATTACGATGGTGAGGATAGAGGATGATGCTGACGTGGCAGCCGGCGGCGGTGACGGCGGCGGCTGAGGACTGTGACGAATGTCCGTGCGCTGTCCGTGACTGGGTGCGTTATAAGTTACGAACGAGTGCGCCTAGTGTTTGGGGGAAAAGTTGGCTTGACTTGCAGCGGGGATGAAAAATACGCGACGAACGAAATGAAGTGTTTCGGACGCGTTGGTCTGTCCAGCGCGGCTCGGGCACCAGAAGGCTGGCGTTGAAATAATATTGTCGAAAGAAAGAGCGAGCTGCGAAAGAACTAGTCAGAGAGTGCGAGGTTGTAGGAAAAGGAACAGGTCAGTCAAGACTCTCTGTACCGCTATTGACGGAGCTGACACATCACATACGACAGGAAAATGATCGTTGGCCGTCCGAGACGCGCTGAGGAAGAGAGGTGATGACGTCAGGCTGACTCGAAGGAAGCTGTGGAGGAACTGAAGCAGCCGGGAAGGGAGCCCCCAGTTTGAATAAAGGGTGATTCGTTTGTATCGAGAGTGAGGGAATGGTAAAATCGTCATTGACATAGGCAATATCTAGCCTATAACTAGCCTTATAATTCCGTTGCTCGATTTCAAGCATACCGGTACAATTAATCAACCAACCAATTAACCCAAGCAGATGCAACTTTTTGATGAGGACATATACATTACAATGGCATTGCAAGGTGCCATACAATACAGGTACTACTACGGCTAGGCATGCTACAGCACAAAAGAATGGATCCCATTTGCAAATTCAGGACACTGCCTGATTCAAACCCACCCACTTCTATCCCACACGGCACATGCCAGTAACATCCCACCCACCACTTGAACACAGATCAATCATCCTGCCGCGAGTGATCCGGAGCTATAGTAAAACCCGATCCCCCCACCCTCCCATCCCCAACCACCACCGCCGCCGAAGAATCCGCAAATGAGCCCCCCAACCCCTCTCCGCCATGCCTCAACCGTGCCTCCATGAGCCCATCCTCCTCCTCCTCAAACATCTCCAGAAACTTGGCAGTGTTGGGGTCGATGCGGCGCCGTACGAAGAGCGGGAGCGTGAAGGAGAGGGAGTAGTGGTTGCGACGGGCGAGGAAGACGAGGAGAGCGACGAGAGCAGCGAGGCAGGAGAGACCACCTATGACTGCGAAGGTGATGAGGATGGGGGGGAGCGGGCCATTGTCCGCCGTCCCTTCTGCAAAACGAGGGGCGGGTAGGGGGGAATGGGTGTGTGTGAATGTGGGTGATGGGGTGTGCAGCGAGGCATGAGAGACCGCCTATGACTGCGAAGGTGATGAGGATGGGGGGGAGCGGGCCGCTGTCTGCGTTGCTTCTGCAGGTGGGGTGGGGGAGGAAGGGGGGGGATGCAGTGTGTGAATCGGGGTGGCGTGGGGGAGTGCAGGGAGTGCAGCGACAGCAGCGACGCATGAGAGGCTCCATACGACTGTGAAGGAGATGAGATGTGCAATTGCGAACCACCCTTTGCTGACCCTCGTGCACATGAAGGGTGGGGGAAGAGGTGGATGGGGGTGAGGAGGAAGGGGTACATGGGGAGACTGGGGAGACGGGAACTGGCGGAGACGCGTTTGTGATGTCAAGTTGCAACTGAGCAGGCAGCGGGGGAGAGGCGTGAGTAAACCTGCGGCATGTCCCAGCAGAAAGCACCGTGCACCACACACGGAACACCGCACGCACACCCCAATCACCCCACCCACCTTCGAAGAAAAGTGCCTTTCCATTGGGGTTGCAGGTGGGGCAGGAGAGCATGGCATGGAAATCCCCTCCCCAGTGAAACTGAGGTGCATCCACTCAATCCTCACTGTGACACCTCCTCAGCAGACTGCAACACACCTCCAGCATCGCACACCCCAATCACTTCACCGCCCCCCACCCCCCGTTCACCCCACTCACTAACCTCCCAACCAACCCCACCCGCCTCTTCCCCAACCGAGTTTTGAGGCGCCTCAAAACTCCCCCAGCTGTGCCGTACCTTCGGAGTAAAGCGCTTTCCCATTGGGGTTGCAGGCGGGGCAGGAGAGCACAGCACGGAACTCCCCAGTGAAGTTGAGGTGCAGCTGGCTGGCAGGCGGCGCGGAGAAGGCAAGCGGGCAGAGCTCGAAGATGGCAAAGATGTCGTCGCGCGTCCACGTGTCTGCTTCAAACACGCCGCACCGCTTGCACTGCGGTGGCTGCAGCTCCGTGAGCGGCTGGTGAGGAGTGAGGGATGGAAGCAGGTGAAATGGCACAGGTGGGTGAAGACGAGAGGTACAAGATCACCCTGAGCACTCCACACTGCTTGCACAGCAGTGGCTGCAGCTCCGTCAGCAGCTGGTGGTGGCGGGTGTGAGAGCTCGAAGATTGCAAAGATGTCGTCTCGCATCCACGTGCCTGCCTCAAACACACCGCACCGCTTGCACTGCGGCGGCTGCAGCTCCGTGAGCGGCTTACAATACAACGGGTGGTATGGTGCTCCTCCTCCTGCTATGCACGGGCGTCAGGCCGCCTCACCTCTTCCTCCTATTCCTTCACAGCCCACAAGGCCGCTCATCAGACGCGACTCACAGCGTGCGTCTCAGAGCTTCCACAGCAGCGCATGGCAGGACTGGTTGGTGGCAGCGCAGGACACAAATCCTGCCATACGCTTGACTCACACAGTGTGCTGTGCCGTTGGGTGGGCTAATGGTGCATCTTATACGCATCCAGCGTGCAAGTGGGCGGTCAGGTCAGCATCAGTGCTGCACGTTCGCCATGCATGCCCGCGACGGCCTTTCGCACGCACCCGGAACGTCCCTTCTTGTAGGCACCCTTTTACCTCCTTTCCCCACTCCCTTTCCTACGGCCTCTTTCTCCACTCTCCTCTTGCCCGCTCCTCCCCCGGACCTGGAACGATTGTGCAGAGTGAAATTACAAACCACAGCAGCGCTATCGGCGCTCTTGAGCGAATGCCTTTGCACCTCGCCTCTCACACCACTGGAATTCACGTGATTGAAGAAGTGTTTTGAGACGTCTCAAAACACCTCGCCTCTCACACCACTGGAAGTAACGCGAGCGCGCCCGGCCCAGCCCACCTCTCATACCCTTCCGCACCCCCTCCCTCCCTCCCCCTTGTTCCCCCCGGCACCCCCACCCACCCCCACCTCCACCGCACGCACCCTCCCTTCCCTCCCTTGCCCCTCCCTTCCCTCCCTTCCCTCCCTTGCCCGTGAGCAACACCTGGAAAGATTCATGCAGAGACGATTTCTGAGTCGACTCAAAAATCGCACGCACCCTCCCTTCCCTCCCTTGCCCCTCCCTTCCCTCCCTTGCCCCTGAGCAACACCTGGAAAGATTCATGCAGAGACGATTTCTGAGTCGACTCAAAAATCGCACGCACCCTCCCTTCCCTCCCTTGCCCCTCCCTTGCCCCTCCCTTGCCCCTCCCTTGCCCCTGAGCAGCACCTGGAAAGATTCATGCAGAGTGAAGTTGTAGTCTGCATTCGCGCTCTCGACGCCCGTGAGCGCGTGCTTCTCCTCGCCCTCGCACTGGAAGTATACTGACGGCGTCCACCCTAGCATGTCGTGCGTCTGCTCCAGACGAATCCACCTCAGCGACACGGGTGATGCTGGGGAAGAGGGGGGGAGGGGGGAGGGAAAGGTGGGGAGGAAGAGCGGGAATTGGGGGCGGGGGAGGGAGGGAAGGGAAGGGAAGGGAAGGGAAGTGGGGAGGGAGAGAGAGAGGGGGTTGGGGATTTGAGGGAGGGAGGGAGAGGGAGAGCGGGGTGGGGGATTGAGGGATTTAGGGAGAGGGAGGGAAGTAGACAGACGGCGTCCCACTCCTGCGTGTCGTGCGTCTGCTCCAGGCGAATCCACCGCAGCGACACGGGTGATGCTGGGGAAAGGAGCGGGGTGGAAGTGCGGAGGGAGGGAGGGAGATCGTGTTGGAAGGAATATGACGAGCAGCGGGAAGCTACTGGGAAAGCGCAATCGGAGCAGTCGGCGGTATGATTCGCGCAAGATGCGGCATGAGAGTACGGCACGCTTTGTTTGTATGATGACGGGGATGTTTGATACCGAAGGTCAAAGGTCCATAATGCAGACGATACTCGATACTAGAGAATGTGATTTGAAACTAGATCCGCTACTACAGGCTTACGGTCGCAGATCGCGGCGCGTGCGAGGAGAAGCAGGAGGAGGGCGGCAAGGAAGGCGCTGCTGGCGCAGCTGCCGCTGCGCGCGCGGAAACGGCGCCCGCCAGCGGCGGTCCTGTGCGGCGCTGCTGGGAGCATGGCGGAAAGGTGGCGGAGCGGGATGGCGATTTTGCTAATGAAAGTTAGCGATGACGCGCGGCAAGGGGCGTTAGAAATACGATCATGGAAATCTGTAAGGAAATTTTATTTTCCTTACTTCGCGTCCCTGCTCAGCGCATACACCACTGTTCCCGCCAACAGCACCCAACAGTAATCCGTTACCATTCGCGACATTCGCCTCGACACTGTTCTCGCCACTGTTCACGACGCGAACCAACCTCACAGTTCGTTTGGTATGGTAACCCACGCTCCGGACCTCCGCCTCGTCATTTCCCAACCTCACCGCCAGGCCCGTCGCGCACCCCATTTTCAAACATTACCGTTACCACTGTAGTTTCGCTATATATTCTTCGCTCATGTCTTCGCTCATTGTACTATTGCTTCGATAGTGCAATTCTCGTTCGTTCACTCAATTGCACTCGTAACACTTGGTATTCAGAGCCTACGATCTCTTCTCGGAACGCACCCACACCTTCGATTTCCCCACTATCTCAATTTTTGGTGGGGGGAGACGTCTCTCAACGAAAAAAGCATCGCCGCTCGTAGTGCTCTCTCGTAAGCACGCACGGCCACGATAGAGGCTCTCGCTGAGCTTGCCCGACACCCCCGCCATGGACGAATTCACTCTCGCGACACTGACGCAGGAGCAACTTGACCGTCTCGTGCGCCAAATCGAAGACTCGGCGCTCGAAATCGCGACACTCACGGCGGAACGCGACTCCGCTCGTCAGCAATCCACGGTGAATGCTCCAGCGCCGCCACACGCACCTGCAAATGCACCGGCACAATTGGAGGAGCCGATTGTCGTTTCATCAGGCACACCGACACAAAACGACAGCGTGGGACAGCGCTCAGACGCAGCCAGTGATGGCGTCGCTCAATCGATGCCTGGCATGGAGAGGAACAGGGCCGCGCCATGCCTGCAGGAGCCTCGCGAAGCCCGTCAGCACGTGGAGTTTGCGGCGACAAGTGGAGACCACGCCATCATGGCACCAATGCCACTCAAGCCGCAGCGCCCGCCCTGTTTCTACCCGAGCTAGCGTGGAGGTCCGACGGTTCAATCGTGGGTCTTCACGATGAACGCCTTTTTCGACGCTAACTACGTCGAGTCGGACGCAGCGAAAAAGAATATGCCGTCTCGCTGCAGAGGGGCCCAGCCATGGACTGGTGGCGAGTCATCATGACGTCGCCACGCGCCTACAAGCCCCCGTCGCAAGAGGAAGGACCCACGGGCCCAGCCGTCACCTGGAGTTCATTCTGCGAAACCGCCCTGTACAGCACGTGGGACGCGTGGTGCGCAGGGCTTCGAGCGCGCTTCGAGCCGATCGCGGCTTCTATTTCGGCGCGTCAGAGACTGCGCACTTGGCGGCAACTCGGATCGGTTCAAGACTACACGAGCCATTTTCTCGCATTATGCGAGCAAGTCGGCTACATGCACGAAGCGGAGCTGGTGGACCGTTACGTCGGAGGGCTAAAGCCGAACATCTCGCACGAAATCATGCTACGCGGACTCTCTAATTTCAACGAGATTCTCGCGCTCGCCGAGAAAATCGACATTCTGCACCGTCCGAGACCGGGGTCCTACTACGGACATCGCCCTCGGGGACCGATCGAGCACGCCACCGTACATGCCGTTGCGACAAATGTAGCTGCCACGCCGTTTAAGGGGCACTGCTTTGCTTGCAATAGGCCGGGTCATCGCAAGAGTGAGTGCCATAAGGAGCTGAGGCGCCGCAGAACAGAGCAGGGGAGGGAGTCTCCAAGGCAGGGAAACGCCAGCAGACAGTAGGAATCGGGCCAACTACTGACGGGACTGCCTGCTCGCCCAACCCCACCGACCCTCACCTATTAGAAACTAATGAGCATGAATGGTTGCAATGAATGGGATGTGGGTACAAGTTCTAACCCTAACATTGGGTTGTACCCCATATGGGCTACCCCACTATAGCCTACATAGAACTAGCACATATATAGTTTGACACACCCCCATAGGCAAAGTGGGGGAGAACAAGGGGTCACAGGACCAGTCAAGAAAAGCAAAGCAAGCTCAAGGTGGATTACAACGTCACCACACACTCCGAGCAGAAGCAAAGGGCCACAAGGCCAGTTCACATGCAGAGGTATATATGCAACAACAACAGTACAGTGATTGAGGAGAGTCACTCTACAACGGTAGTGAGCTAGACTACGGGGGTTGGCACGAACTACTAGAGGTGATCGTAGCTTTGCTTGGTTCCTTAGTGCTTGCACATTCACGGGAGAAATCGGCAAGAGTTTCCACTAGCAAAGTTGGAATTCCAAAATGATTGAACAAGCAATGACAACAAAGACTACATCAGGCACCTAGCAACCCTGCAGCTAGCCTGGTCGACCGCCAGCACAGCTCGGTCGACCGCCTGCCAGCGTTGCGTAGAGGAGTCGCGCCAGCACTGCAGAAAGGCGACCTGCCAACAGAGCAGGTAGACGGCGTGCCAACGCTGCAGCAGAGCGGCTGTCCAGCGTTGCCCCTTGGAACACAGCAGTGTGCACGCTCGCAGGTGCGCGCAGACGATTGGCCCAACTTGCCTCGTTGGGCATCCGTCGGCTGTTGTCTGCGCCTGACGAGCCACATCGACTCCGGGATACCAGCCCGCAGTCGCTTGCGCCATCGCAACCTCGACGACGTTCGCGTGCCTCCGCAGAACTCGTCGAGCAGGTTACCTGGTCGACCCGGTCGACCACCAGGTGCTTCCGGTCGACCATCACTGCTTCTGGTCGACCAGCAGGTGCCTCTGGTCGACCACAACTCCCGTCGAGCTACCCCCTGGTCGACGGACCCCTTCCGTCGACCAGAACCATCAGCGGTTGTCGCCGAGCTCCCCTCGTCGACCGCTGCTCACTTGTCAGGTCGACGGACTGCTCCGTCGACCTCCCGGTCGAACTGCAGGACGACGGGATGCTCCGGAGACCTCCCGGTCGAGCGGCAGGTCGACGGGATGCTCCGGAGACCTCATGGTCGAACGACAGGTCAACGGGATGCTCCGGAGACCTCTCGGTCGAGTTGTAGGTCCTGGTCGACGTCCCACCCGTCGCCCAGACCAGTCAGTTGCAGTTGTCGAGCTCCCTGGTCGACAGCAACACTACAGCGGTCCCCTGCAGCTCGACGAAGCCTGTCGAGCAGCTCTCCCACTGTGAACAGTCGGCTGCTACTCCCGTACATCTGACCAAGTCGTCGGCGTTGCCCAAGCGAGGGTGAGGCCAACACTCCATTCCTGTTAACATTGATCACTACATAGCAAGAGTAAACATGAAGGTATATATAAATATATATAGATCACAGTACAACCAAAGTCTGCAAAAAGTGAGGAAACGTAGGCACCAGGCCTAGAGCAGTGCAGAAGCGCTGATGATCTCCAGCCGGAAGGGCCTTGGTGAACACATCAGCCGTGTTCGCTCGAATGGGCACGTGGGCGACACGAAGCTGACCACGCTGCTGCAACTCTCGAGCAAGGAAGTAACGCAGAGCGATGTGCTTCATTTTGTGCTCCAGTTTGTGGTCCTGACACAAGGCAATGGCAGCCTTGTTGTCGACGTACAAAACTAGAGGAAAACGAGGCCTCTCTCCCAAGTCGGTCAACAGGTAGGTGAGCCACCGTTACTCCTGTGCAGCCATGGCTGTGGCGTAGATCTCAACCTCACAACTGGAGCTGAGAACAGAAGACGAGCGTATAGATCGTCAAGAAACAGAGCCAGAGCCAAGGCTGAAAGTGTATCCCTGTGATGACCGCTGCGTAGCCACGTCGTCAACCCAAGAAGCGTCTGAGTGCCCAGTGAGGACAACTGGACTCCGCCCTCCAAGCACGAGCCCCATGCCCGATGTTGCTGAGAGTCACTCTACAATGGTAGTGAGCTAGACTACGGGGGTTGGCACGAACTACTAGAGGTGATCGTAGCTTTGCTTAGTTCCTTAGTGCTTGCGCATTCACAGGAGAAATCGGCAAGAGTTTCCACTAGGCAAAGTCGAAATTACAGAATGATTCAACAAGCAATGACAACAATGACTACATCAGGCACCTAGCAACCCTGCAGCTAGCCTGGTCGACCGCCAGCACAGCTCGGTCGACCGCCAGCACAGCTCGGTCGACCGCCTGCCAGCGTTGCGTAGAGGAGCCGCGCCAGCACTGCAGAAGGGCGATCTGCCAACAGAGCAGGTCGACGGCGTGCCAACGCTGCAGCAGAGCGGCTGTCCAGCGTTGCCCCGTAGAACACAGCAGTGCGCACGCTCACAGATGCGCGCAGACGATTGGCCCGACTTGCCTCGTTGGGCATCCGTCGGCTGTTGTCTGCGCCTGACGAGCCACATCGACTCCGGGATACGAGCCCGCAGTCGCGTGCGCCATCGCATCCTCGACGACGTTCGCGTGCCTCCGCAGAACTCGTCGAGCAGGTTACCCGGTCGACCCGGTCGACCACCAGGTGCTTCCGGCCGACCACCACTGCTTCTGGTCGACCACCAGGTCCCTCTGGTCGACCAGCAGGTGCCTCTGGTCGACCACAACTCCCGTCGAGCTACCCCCTGGTCGACGGACCCCTTCCGTCGGCCAGATCCATCAGCGGTTGTCGCCGAGCTCCCCTCGTCGACCGCTGCTCACTTGTCAGGTCGACGGACTACTCCGTCGACCTCCCGATCAAACTGCAGGTCGACGGGATGCTCCGGAGACCTCCCGGTCAAGCTGTAGGTCCTGGTCGACGTCCCACCCGTCGCCCTAACCAGTCAGTTGCAGCTGTCGAGCTCCCTGGTCGACAGCAACACCACAGCGGTCCCCTGCAGCTCGACGAAGCCTGTCGAGCAGCTCTCCCACTGTGAACGGTCGGCTGCTATTTCCGTACATCCGACCAAGTCGTCGGCGTTGCCCAAGCGAGGGCGGGGCCAACACTCCATTCCCGTTAACAGATGTACTACACATGTAGCGCAGTACCCTCTTCACAGCATCAACGTG